ATTCAAATCTTGGATATAATAGTATCATTCAAGTTTATGCTAAATACTGCACAACAAACAAAAAAGATTAACTCCCCATTCTTCAATTAAAAATTATGCAGTTTCTGATACTACTATGACTTTTCAGGAAGAGTATATTCATTGACTAGATGCGGCAGTCTTTTGTGATTTGAGTTACCTACAAAAAAGTGCGTTTTTTAAAAGTTTCTTATATGGGTAGGGTATCACTTTAACTCGGTTGAGTAGATTAGTTATGGACTATGATATAAATTTAATTCTCACTTTTAATTTTTTTACTTTGTTTTTTCCTGTTAGTATATTGTGTATGTTCACAATCTGTACTGACAGAAATCAAATGCTGGCTTGCAAACAAAGGTGTAACTATTGTCAATTTTTTTATGTTGCTCTAATTACAAATTTTGGATTTAAAGCTAATTATTTCAGCTTGTCTTTTCTCTCCCTAAAATTAGTGCACTACCTTTGGTTGTTTACACTCTGTGGCCACCTCCCTTCCACCTATCTATTTTGTCCCAATAATTGTCTCTGTGTGACTCAATGGTTGCATGAGTACAAAATGGGAATGTGTACATAAAGGGAAGACTAGGTAACTCTCCTTCCTAAATATCATTTTGATTCCCTTTAGAATTCATTTTTCATTCTACAGTTAATTTTCATCTGCAATTAATTTTCAGACAGTGATGCAGTTCAAAAAAGGAATTAAGTGTGCTAATTCCGTAGCATTATGATATAAAATCTAGCAGTACTATTATTCACTGTTCAGAGTGATATTAGTCTAGTCTCTTATGTTCAATTTCAGCAGATTTAAAGATAAGGACAGCTACTACAAAGAGAATGAGAGACATTATGGCAGTCATTATTGACTTCCTCAATGTCAGGTCTTGCAGACCTAAAAAGCCTTCATCATCCTGTTATAATTAGATTAGCTCTATAATGTTCAGTATGTATTCAAAGTGTGTGAAGATGGGGACAACTATTTGGAAGAAAACTAAAGACAGTAAGATAGACAGTGAAGATCTCCAGTGGACTTGCTTTGAAATCTGTGTTTCTTAAAATTGTTTATTATTGGTTTTGTTAAGTTTAATCTTACCCTTTATAATAAAAAAAATAAGTGTATAGGATTGATAACCATATTACTGTTTTTGTTGAACAGAACTGGTTGCAGTCTCACTGTTTGAAACCCCACTTTATATGCTCCACTTTTGTATCTTGAATAAATATTCGTAAGAGGACAATATGTAAATATCAACTAGTGATTTCTTACTGCTTATTCTTTCTTTGAAAGTACATATTATTTCAACCCATTTTCTGTTTTGCTTAGTCTTTCTTTAAATAAAATTTTTAAAAAAGAACAAAGGGAGGGAAAGGTGGAAACTACTGTCAATTTCTTATTATCTTGAACTCTTGCATTGTTTACACAATTTTATTAGGTTTGGCTTTGTTCTGTCTTTTGTTAGATTTTATTCTTTCAGATGATAAGGGCAGCTATTTTGAATATAATGGGAAATATGGTAATCATGGTTTCCTATTATTGTTTTGAAGTCTTATTTTTTCATTCATTGGTCTGGTTTTATTTTGTTTTGTTTGATTTTATTATTTGAGATGGTATGAATGCTATTTTGTAGAAAACAAGACATTATGGTAGCTATTGTTGATTTACTATCATCTTGTTTTGAAGTCCAACCATGCTTTTGTTCTTCTGTTTTGATTCTATCCTGTTGTGTTATTTGATTTCATTGTGTGTGATGTTATTGATAAATTTTTTGAGGAAAATGAGGTTTTATAGCAGCCACTGTTCATTTCCTGTTATTTAGTTTTGAAGTCCTGTAACGCTTTCATTCTTTTGAATGTTTTTTCACTATATTGTTATATTTGATATTATTGTGTGTGAAGGTAGGCTCAATTGTTTCAAAGAAAAAAAGAGACATTATGTTAGCTACCGTTGATGTCCAGTTGTTTTGTTGTGAAGTGCTGTGTTGCTTGCATTTTCCTGTTCTGATTTGCTTTGTTTCACTGTTTTCTTTCGTTCTCTTTAAAATAAAAAAAATTAAAAAAAAAAAAGAATTAAGTCAGAAAACAAATTTTTTTTTGTCTTTTGAGACAAGGTCTTGCTATGCAGATTAGGCTGGCCTTGAGCTTACTTTATAACCCAGGTTGGTCTCGAACTCACAATGATCCTCTTGCTTCAGTCTCCTAAGTGCAGGGATTACAAGTGTGTGCCACATTTGGCTTAGAAAATAAATATTTCTATCTAGAAAAAAAGGAAGCTTATAATCAAACTACATAAACCACCATAAGTCCAGCTCTAATCTGAGAGAAAGTGAAAAACTGCTGGGTGATCTGTTCCTTTCAAATATGAACAGATTTTAGAGTTATATAAGCAGCAATCAAAATTCCTGGAGCAGAGACCGAGGAGTTAGCTCAGTAGCTCAAGCATTTGCCTATAAGTGTGAAGACGAGTGTTCGATCCCCAGTACAAAAAAAAAATTTACTGGGGCATTATCATTTGTATTCTCTTGACTGAGTCAAGAATTCTCAGTCTCTAGGCTCCTCTCTCTGTTTCAGTTCAAACTGTTTTGAAATTTTATTTGAATTTTTCCTTTCATCCTTTGAAAAGAATCACCTTACATTTGAGGTTACTTTATACTAGAGCTAATACCAAGTAACTACTTATTGCCAACTAGTGGGCATAACATACTCATTTTTTTAAACTTAATTCTCATAAAGACACAGGAAGAGGAACAGTAACTCCCTCTTTACAGATGATGAAATGAAGGCTTAAGAAAAGCAAGTAATCTAAGTGCACAACAAGGAAAGGATCCTGACAAGAAATACCACAACCAAGGACTGAACCTACTGTAGTCTGACTGCAAACCCATGTACCTTTTACTTTACCCACTTTTCACACAAAACTTTGTCTAGGTGACATTTGTCTGAGATTTGATAACTTTTCCAAAGGTACACAGGCCATCAAACTACACCTCTTAGTTGCTTTGTTATAATTTAATCTTTCTCAAGGTTCTTTTATCTTCTGTGTGTCAGTGTATGCGTGTGTCGGGGGGTTACGGGGTTACTGGAGTTAAACATGGTGCATCACACATTCTAGGCAAGCACTCTACTACTGAGCTACATCCCCAGTTCATTTTATTTTTTAAGACAGATTCTCACTAAATTGCCCATGTTGGTCTGGAATTTGCAATTCTCCTCCTTCAATCTCCCAAGTAGCTAGGATTATAGATGTGCACAACTTTTAAAAAGCTGTCATCTTCTCTGGTAACTTAAAAATTTCTCAAAATGGCCAGAAATGCTTAAGTTAGCTATTTACATCAGATAGAATTCAAGACACAAGTTTGACATAAAATCTTTCATTTATTGAACACTTACATCTGATGTTTTCAACTAAACTATTATTGAAGAGTTCTGTGTGATATTTAGAATTATCTATAACAGAGCTGTCTGGCTGTGTCTTAGATGTATCTAAGGAGAGGAATTAAACCTATCCCCTCAACTAATTTCTGTGTACAGTAAAGTCAGTACTGATTTCCACTTTTCCTGGTAATAATCGAGCTAGTCTTAAAAAGAACTGATTAAATTATCATTAAAATTTTCCAGTTACGTGGTCAAAGACAAAAGGTAAAACAATGAGAAAACATGAAATATCATGTCCTGTTGTTTCTGTAAATTGAGAAGATGCAAAGATAAAGTATCAAATACTTCAGGAAGGTCCCAACCAGCTCCTTACTTTCTCTCCCAAGTTTCTGAATAGCCCTAGGTATTTATCTTGCCTCTCTTTACAAATTCCTATCTCCCAGGCATCCTTCAATAACACCTTTTTCGTGGTGGGATGAATTTTTTAATATGAATTGCCATTAAAAAAAAAAAAAAAACTACTTCACAAACAAAGCACCCTAATAGTTGACATGGCTGAGCAAGATTTAAACCAAAGGTACTATTTGGCTGATAAAACTAACACGTTAAACAGAAAGAGGCTCACTCATTTGTGTCTCACTCTCACTGCTATCTCAACTGTCTTTTATGTTAACCCATTTTGTACCCATCCTTTGAACATAGTTCAGGATGTAAGGGTGCTAGGTATTTCCCAAATTCATCAGGAGCCTTATACTAGACCTTATTCCCTTAGAACTAATGTGTTAAGAGCATACACTGAACTTTGAAAGGAGAAAGAATTCACCTCTCAATCACCTCAAGTTTCATCCCAGCTGTCCCGCTTCCTTTTTTGGTTTTGTTTTAGCAGTACTGGGGATTGAACCCAGGGTCTCACTCACGCTCTAGACAAGTGCTCTACCACTGAGCTGTACCACACAGCCCTTTTTATTTTGCTAAATGTCCTAGGCTGTCTTGGAATCCTAATGCCTTGGCCTCCTGTGTAGCAGAGATTACAGGCATGCACCACAGTGGCAGGCCTGTTTCACTTTATTTCTTTAAAGTACAATCACAGCTAGTATGTTGCTTATCACTGTTTTCTCTCATTACACCTGAGGGAATCTTGGAGAAAAGGAGAGTATTTAGATTACTAAGAGTTTATTTAAATTTTCTAATGACTACTTTCTAAATTCCGATATTTAAAACATCACTAGGGGACTGAATGACAGTTTGTAAGAAAGAAAAAACAAAGCAAAACAAAATCTATTAACCTATTTACTCACTACTTTCCAATTATAAAAGATTGATTTTATTCTCTTGCTTTTGTGACTGTTAAAGAGGCAAAATCATTTTCTAAAGTCTTTTTAAAGTAAAACAAGTACCCATTCAAAAAATAAAGCTAATCATATCGGTTTATAACAGATGACTCTTTACAGTAAAATATTAAATAAAAGTTATGAATGCCAAGCAGTCTTTTTGAAAAGAAGCCAATTTAAGAAAAACAGTTATAACCCTGTATTTTCAAAATAATATTTGGCAGATTAAAACATGAAAACAAACAAGACTTTTTGATAGACTCTTAAATACATACTACTTACATGACACCTTGTAGAACTTTCTGGGGATCAGGGTCAAATAGCCTGTCAACATAGTGGCGACTGCTAGCTGTTACTTCCTAGAAAGTGGGGGAAAAATTATGACATCTGAAGCCATGCAAATCATAAATTCATAGCATCACCCACAACATCAAACAACTATATAATCTAACTTAAGGAAGATGTATTAAGAGTCCTATAAAACACTATTTGCCTTTTTACTCTATGGGACATGTAAGTGATTTTTTTCTAAGTGTCAAAGTAATTGAAAACCACAGTGTTCAGCTCAAGTTGCTGAACATCAATTAAAAAATTAAAAAAATAAAGTCCACAGGGTACTACAAATTTTTGGAAATGAAATGGCAAAAAAATTTGAGAATCAATATAATTATACTCTCCTTTAAAAGATTTATAGGGAAAAATATTAACTAGATTTTTGTAAATCATTCTGGGAAAGCTTGTAACATATAAAGAGTAGTTTAGAAAAGAAAGAAGACATCCAGTGCTCAGTAAAAACAACTGGACAGTGGGACCTTTTAGTAAGCCTTGCAAGTTTTGTCAAGAAAAAAAAAGTCTGGGCATATGTGCTAAGAAACAAGCTACATTTCTTCATAACTGCTGAATGTCACCTATGTATGTGAAACAGACTTCATTCATAACTGCTGAATGTCACCTATGTATGTGAAACAGCCTGGAATGCTACTTTTGCTTAGAACACACTAAAGGAGAGAAAATCTGGTTTTCAGCCAAAGGAAAGGACCAAGACTTCATGGTAGTCTAAGTGTAAGAGGAAGTCAGAATTATAGAAAGGAGCTTCATGGCTAGGAGGAGGATATGAACAAAAACACATTAATGAAGTTTCATACTTTCTTGGAAAGAAAATGATTTAGAACCAGGGTGGTCTATAGGTCCAACAGAACTGATTAAGGCTGAACTGGGTAAACGTAGAGGGTAAAGGACACTTACCTCCTTTTGTACTAAGAAGTTTACTTTATATGCTATTTCTTACACTATTTTGGCAAGTAGTATTTTTTACACTTAATTTTCAGTACTTAAAATCATAAATTATTATTAGGGAACAATAAATTATTATAGGGAACAAGAAATAACTTTTCAGCTTAGTCCAAACCCAAATCAGTAAAATACTAATTCCCATGACACAGCACCAGCTTTAACTTCTAAGTCACCAATAATAAATCTGAAGAACTGTACAAACTACTTTTTTGACTGCTATCAAAATGTGATGGATATTTTCATACTCTCAACTTCCTACCAACACACCCTCATAAGAAACTAAAATACTCCTTTGCTTTTGATATGAACTCCATCTACAAAGATCAAACAGTCAAAGCAAACAAGTGAAAATGATGAAAATTATTGTGCCCATGGTGGGCACTGTCAAAGCAACTAATGGGACCTGTTTTCCTCAAAATAACACAATCAAAGTGAGACTCTTAATCATCATCTGTCCCATTCTCTTGGTTTACACATAAGGTTTCTTATGATCTTCATTCCCTGTAGCACAACATCTTTTGTCTCCCAATATGGTTAAAAAAAACAAAAAGTGGTTCATTATACTTGGGTTTTAACACATATGCCTTGACATTCTGCATATATACCTAGCATATTTATTTTTTTGTATAGCTATACGGAAAAAAATTTTTTTCAGTGATACTAGGGATTGAATCTAGAGCCTTTACACTGGACTACATCCTCAGCCCGTTTTTTATTTTTAGACATGGTCTAAGTTGCCCATGCTGGGCTCAAACTTGCCATCCACCTGTCTCAGCCTCTCACAATACTGAAATTATAGATGCGCACCACATGCCTGCCTGGGACAATTTTTCTATTGCACTGCTTTCCTCTACAGATCTCAGCCCACTTCTCCTTTCTTTTCTTTTAGAATGCAGTTCGGGAATGTAGAAACTAAAGACAGAAGGCAATCAGTACAGACCTTAAATAGGCTGGACAGAGAAAGCACCTTTCACAATGGTGACATCTGAGTAAAAGCCAAAGATGAAGGAGACATCACGCAGCAGTTTAGGGACACAGCTTCCCAGGCAAAGCAAATAACAAATGCAGAGGCTTTGAAATGGGATCTCTTTCATAATTAAAAAACAGGAGATCATTATAGCTGCAGCAGAATGAGCAAAGAAGAAAGTAAGAGATGAGATCAAAGAACAATATCCAGAGAGTAAAGAATTATGCGATCCAGTATAATAACCATTAGCCTCAAATGGTTTTTTTAACATTTGAAATGTGGCTAGAAATTGAATTTTGTTTAGTTTTTTTAAAAAACTTGAACTTCATGAGCTTTTGGTAATATAGCTACTAGAAAACTTAAAATGACATACATAGCTCTGTATTATTTTTACACTAAACAGCCCTGGTATAGAGCCTTGTAGGTAATTTTAAGGACTCTAATTTTTAAAGCCAGGTGTAGTGACAACCTGTAATCCCAGCACTTTGGTGGCTGAAGCAGGAGTTACTGCTCAGAGTTCAGGTCAGCCTGGACTACACAATGAGTTTAAGGCCAGCCTAAAACACACAGTGAGAGACTGTCTAACGAAAGAGAGAGAGGGAGGGAGGGAGGAAAGGAGGGGGAGAGGCACAGGAAGAGGCACAGGGAGAGGGGGGAAGGAGGGAAAGGAAAGGAAGGAAACAAAAAGAAAAGGACAGGAATTTTTTTTGGTACCAAGAATCAAACACAAAACCTTGCACTTAGCAGACAGACACTGTTCTGCTGAGCTATGTCCCCGGCCCTGGAATTTGATTTTTATAGCATGAGTTGGGAAACAATAAGAGGAATTTGGGGAAAAAAAGAAAAGAATGATACAATTTAATGATTTGACCTATATTTCTAAAGGATAACTCTGGGTTTAATTTTAGGAATACACAAATATGTAGACAAAGATAAGGGGATACACGACAGAAATAGATCAGATTTATTTCGGTTACCAGACATTGTTTTACTTCAGACATGCAGAGATGATTGAGCTCTAAAGACTAGGCTGAACATCATAGAGGTAACAAGACTAATTCAAATTCCAGATAAATACGGAAGTCTGGAATGACTGTCAGATTGGAAATGATGTCAGACAGGATGTAGGGTATCACAAAAAGAGAGAAGCCAGGGTCACACTAATGTTTTTGTCTGAGCACTTAAATATCTGAGTTGCCAGTTAATTAGAGGAAGATTATGGGAGGTGCAGATTTAAGTGGGATATCAAAAATTCAACTTTGGACATGTTAGGACTAAGAATACTAGTAAACATCCCAGTAACAAAGCCAAGCTGGCTGTGGACATGTTAAACCTAGAGTTCAGGAAAAATTTGTGGGCTGGATCTAAGTCAGAAAAGTGTCAGCTTATAAACAGGATTAGTTCACTAACAGAGTGACCCTGGATAGAGTAAGGTCTGACGTATGCTCCTGAGCCAGAGTAGTGGGCAGAAATTCAGGAAGTCAAATGTGGGAGTGCTTCAAGGAGAAAGTGACCAACTATGTCAAATTCTAGTGATTCTAGTATAAGATAATGACTAAGACTTGATCACTGGATTTAGGAACTTAAGGACATCAATGATGTTTACAGTAGTATGGTAGGGTTAACGCTTGGTAGGAGGGAATTAAAGACAGACTGGAAAATAGGAACTAGAGAAAAAATACAGACAATTCTGTCAAGGAATTTCATAGGAAAGGAGAGGTGGAGGGAAAGTACAGTCAAAAGAGATTTCATTTTTTGAGATACAGTAAGTCGGTACCTCTTATACATTGATGGAAATGTCGTAGTAAAGAAGAAAAACTGACACTAAATGAGTAGAAAAATATCCAAAACAATGTTCATGAATAATTGAGGAGGGATAGGATTTAATGATGAAGAAGGAAATGGAAAGTATGAACACTAAAAGAAGTCAACTAAGTGGATATGCTAGTAAGACCTTGTGAAGTTTTCTTTTGATTGCGTCTATGTATTTTCTAAGAGTAAAAGTAAGAGAAGTTGCAGTGGTCTAAAGAATGAAAAGGAAGCCAGGCATGGTGGTGCATGTCTGCAATCCCAGCACTCAGAAAGCTGAGGCAGGAGGATCTTTGCAAGTTTAAGACCAGCCTGGCCTACAAAGTGAGCTCAAGGCCAGCCTGAACTGCATAATGAGACCGTGTCTCAGCAAAAGAAAAGAAAAGAAAAGAAATAACACACTAATGAGGCTGGGGAAATGTACCAATACCTCTAAGGAACACCAAAAATTCTCTTAAAGTTTGTAATTATGAATTAAAATGAGAACAATCAATAGGACTATTTTTCTCCAGTTACATTTAAAGGCACAGATGCAGGTACAAGTAAGAGATCTGGATTTAACCAGAGTTAGAATTTTACTAGGCAAGGATGAAAAAGCTAGAGGGAGAGGTTAAATGAATTTAGAGTATATGCAAGGATGTGATTGATTATAACAATGTATCTAACGAAAAAGTAGTAGAACAGACAGTAGCTAATGCAAGGACTGAAGGACTGCTGGTACTAGAGTCGGAAGAGTGGTTTGACAAGTGTTGGCTAGAATGCTTGACGCTGAGGTTATTAACCTGAGTTATAGTTTAGTCTTGCTGAGTTATAGCTTAGTCTTGGTAAGGTCAAAGTCTAGGAAATGACCATAGGAGCAAGTATCTCAAGGTAAGATAGAGTACACAATTACTGGAGAGGTTTAGAATTTTAGAAAATTACTTACATAGATAATGAAGTTTCTATAAATCATTATTAATGTAGTATTACAAAGTATTACATGAATTAAAAGCTAAAGCCATAAAGAAGGAAATAATCAAGGATCCTATAGACGACTGCAACAAGGTATAATCTAGTGAAATTCATAGGGGGTTTTCAGGAAGCAAAGAACATCTCTATCCTACCTTATCAGAGAGATATGAGGTATAGAAGAGGAAAAGGAGGCATTAGCTGAGAAACCTGGAGAAGAAAGCTTGGAAAAGAATATCTCTGAACAAAAATTCTAGACTTATCATAAACCCTAAAAGATGAAAGCACATGGAAGGCCAGTGAATGGAACAGAGAAAGGCAAGAGATCTGATGGAGTAGACA